GTACATTACCATGGTACCTGATAGTTCCCCATGTACATTACCATGGTACCTGATAGTTCCCCATGTACATTACCATGGTATCTGATAGTTCCTCATGTGTACATTACCATAGTATCTGATAGTTCCTCATGTACATTACCATGGTACCTGATACATGTAGTTCCCCATGTACATTACCCATGTACATTACCATGGTACCTGATAGTTCCTCATGTACATTACCATGGTAGCTGATACATGTAGTTCCCCATGTACATTACCATGGTACCTGATACATGTAGTTCCCCATGTACATTACCATGGTGCCTGATAGTTCCCCATGTACATTACCATGGTACCTGATACATGTATTCCCCATGTACATTACCATGGTATCTGATACATGTAGTTCCCCATGTACATTACCACATTACCATGGTACCTGATACATGTAGTTCCCCATCTACATTACCATGGTATCTGATACATGTAGTTCCCCATGTACATTACCATGGTATCTGATACATGTAGTTCCCCATGTACATTACCATGGTACCTGATACATGTAGTTCCCCATGTACATTACCATGGTACCTGATAGTTCCCCATGTACATTACCATGGTACCTGATAGTTCCCCATGTACATTACCATGGTACCTGATAGTTCCCCATGTACATTACCATGGTATCTGATAGTTCCTCATGTGTACATTACCATAGTATCTGATAGTTCCTCATGTACATTACCATGGTACCTGATACATGTAGTTCCCCATGTACATTACCCATGTACATTACCATGGTACCTGATAGTTCCTCATGTACATTACCATGGTAGCTGATACATGTAGTTCCCCATGTACATTACCATGGTACCTGATACATGTAGTTCCCCATGTACATTACCATGGTGCCTGATAGTTCCCCATGTACATTACCATGGTACCTGATACATGTATTCCCCATGTACATTACCATGGTATCTGATACATGTAGTTCCCCATGTACATTACCACATTACCATGGTACCTGATACATGTAGTTCCCCATCTACATTACCATGGTATCTGATACATGTAGTTCCCCATGTACATTACCACATTACCATGGTACCTGATACATGTAGTTCCCCATCTACATTACCATGGTATCTGATACATGTAGTTCCCCATGTACATTACCACATTACCATGGTACCTGATACATGTAGTTCCCCATCTACATTACCATGGTATCTGATACATGTAGTTCCCCATGTACATTACCACATTACCATGGTACCTGATACATGTAGTTCCCCATCTACATTACCATGGTATCTGATACATGTAGTTCCCCATGTACATTACCACATTACCATGGTACCTGATACATGTAGTTCCCCATCTACATTACCATGGTATCTGATACATGTAGTTCCCCATGTACATTACCACATTACCATGGTACCTGATACATGTAGTTCCCCATCTACATTACCATGGTATCTGATACATGTAGTTCCCCATGTACATTACCACATTACCATGGTACCTGATACATGTAGTTCCCCATCTACATTACCATGGTATCTGATACATGTAGTTCCCCATGTACATTACCA